CGTGGTCGTTCAAGTCCTTCAACTATGTCTCTAAGTGATGATCATTGGGACCAATATTTGTTGAAATCTTCGAGAAGAGAAGCTTCAAAACATCAATTGTTGCCTGGTTGGGAGATAAATTTCACTTGCGAAAATTTTCATTTATACTCAAAAAATGTTTTCAGGTACCAGCAGTAGTGGATTAGATACTTCTCATCATTTTAGACGAAACAGACCTTCACTAATTAGACAATGTGAGGTTCTCGGCGCTAGCGGTACAATTGGTGGGAGTAGTTGTGGTGAATCTCCTAGTGGCTCTATGGTAGGGGTTTTTGAATAGAAACCTTAAAAATATTCGTTTTTTAGACACTTAACAGAAGAAGCACATTAGTAGTAAACCCTAGGGAATGCCGTCAACGTATTCCTCCCATTCATTCAGTTTATGGAGCAGATGATTCTCTTCGTCTTCAAGACCAACAACAACAACAGCTGCCATCCTCTTCTGTTGATATTCAAAACCAAACGAGAGAAGAACGCGGATCTCTTCCCAATTTGGAAGATTTGGCTGGCCAACCATTACAATTAGGTAGAGAAGAGGCTGCAAGATTAGCTTCCCAACGCCGTCAAGATGTACATAAACAAATGGAGGAAGAAGAAAGATTGAGACAGAATCCGTTAAGATATTTGGCTCATCCTAATTTTAGAGTAGGGAATTTTAAAAACTCGAAATCCTCCAAAAAATTTTTTTTCAGAATTGGCTCATTCAATGGCGAATTCCATTACTTTTAGTACTCGGCAACATTCTACTTTTCTATTGTTTTTTACACTTGCTTTCAGGTAGTAGTAAAAGCGATCGAAGAGGTGGTGGAAGAGGAGGCGGAGGAGGAGGAAATGCTCACCATTCCGAATGATGTAGATTAAAAATAAAAATATAATACAGGATTTTTTGTAGAGGAGTTTTGGCATTAGGGCATTAAGTCTTAATAATTTTATCTTTTATTTTGGGCATGTTACCTCTTTGGGGTTTAAGTCAATGAAAAATAGTGCCCGATTCGAACCGGAACTGGCCAACTTTTTCGGAGTCTGGGTCCCAAATGCGGGCTTTTTTCGTGATCTCCGGAATTTTTTCTGACAAATTTGGATCCGACTCGGGAAAACGTCAAACCCTGCGGTCAAGAGACCTCCGGAAAAAACCTACAGAAACCTTGAAAAGTGCTGAACTTCTAGTCCACTAAAAATGTCAAGACTTAAAATCTAGTCAAATATTAAAACAGGAGTAACTACTATAAATATGTATATTAACGATTCATTCATTCACTTTTTCCTTTTTTTTATTGTTGAAGAATTTTAAAATATGTTTTTTAAAAGACTTTACTTCGACCTAAATTCAATCATAAAACTTAAAAAAAATCATTATAAATCTCCCAAAATATATTTGTGGCCTTTTCTTTATAATTTTTTATTTGCTTTTTTTGTTTTTTTGTTCTTATGTGCAATGCTGATATTTTTTAAAAATAAAAAAAAATTTTTAAATTAAAATTTTAGGACTTGAAATTTCCATATTTTTACCTTTTTTGGTTAAAATAAATGTTATTTTAAGCATTTTTCAAATATTTATAGCCTTGCTTGTTCTTTTGGTTTATTTTTAAGAGCACATATTGTTATGGATGGATTCATTTAATGAACATATGGACAATTAATGAATATGGACAACAAGGAGAAAAGGGCAGGTGAACGAACGAGCATTGTCAAAGTAATGCTAAAAACGACAACACCATGGTTTGGAGAATATGTCCAAAAGTGCCTGTTTTTCCTTCGTAAAGGTAGGAAAACGGGAACACCGAATATCTAATACACCTCTCCAATGTGTTTTCCTGGTCTCTAGCAGAGGTGGGTCGGAACAGTCAGAGGTGTCGGAAATCGGAAGAGCCGGAAATCGGAACTGGCTCAAAAGTCGGAACTTGGAAATCGGAAATCAAAATTTTTTTTTGGAAATTGGAAATCGGAAGGAAAAAACGCCGGAAATCGGAATTCCGACCCACCTCTGGTCTCTAGTGTAATTGGAAGGCCAATAGAGTTTCGCCAAATAAGCCTCTCATATTTTTCACGCCTTTATTCAATATTCTCGTTTGGCCGATTTTATTTATTTTTTGCATTTTTGTGTGTAGCTATAGTTGCCATTATTTTTGTTGTTGGCGCCTTCCCCATGTCTGTATATCGATTCTTTTTCAATAAACCACAGGATTGAAAGACTACGTTATTTCTATTTTATGGCCATAAACTTCTCTCCTTTCTCTTTTAAATTATGGCGCTCATAGTCTCAAAAATTCATATTTTCCAGCTTTATGCGGAGGAAAGAAGGGAGAAAATCCAAACAAGATCCTTTTTTAAAGTTTGGCCATTTATGCGCGGGAACCAATTATTTCCTCATCTTCTAATGTATTTTTTACTCTTGTTAGTGTTGAGGGTATTTTAGTGTTGATAAGTTGGTATGGGATGAGCGCATGGACCAGGGATGAGCGCAAGAGACAGTCTCAAATAACGCAACGCAAGGCCAAAATTTAACGCAAATAACGCAATGCGCTCACCCCTGGTATGGACTTGCTTTGTTGGCAAAATAAAAAACCTTGTGTAGTAGCCATTATGAAATATTTTTTATAATGTTTGGGGAGGGGGGGGGGTAAGGGAGGGAGGGAAACAAAAATTGAAAAGCAGCATGCATATATTGGATGCTTTACTCAAATTGAAGAGAAAATGTTGATGTTGGTAGAGCTGTTTTATCTGTTATTTATAAATTCTTTCTTTGGTGGCTGGCTGGTGGCGAGATTAAGAAGTTGTAAGAAGAAAGGAGTGAAGTAAAAAAAAATAAGAGCAAGGCTAATAAAAAGAGCAAAGAGGAAGGAGTTGTGGCCCCAAAAGCTTTTTTTTCCTTTTTCAGACGTGCCACCCCTTCCTATCTATATAGGCAGACCACTGCCAGGGCAATCGGCACATTGAAGATTTTCTCTTTTTAAAGGAGGAATGGGCAAAACAGGCGCTGCAAACGGGAAAAAACAAGCTTTAAGCTAAAACATTCTTGGAGGACCAAAACATTGTTTTGAGTAGAGGTCGGTAAAATCGTGTTTACGGGATCCCGCATGCGGGATTTTTCTTTTAAATATTTGCGGGAAGGGACCCCGGGGGTAATTCCGCGGGGGTAAATCCCGCACTCCCGCAAAATCCCGCAATTCAAAAAAATGCAGGATTGCGGGGCGGGATCCCGTCCCGCACCTACCTCTAGTTTTGAGTAACCCGGCAATCAAAAAATCTCCTTAAGAGTGCACTCAATCAGTTATTTTCTCGCTTTTCAACCTTTAGACACGCGCTTTCTCGCGCTTTAATTAATTATTCTCTCCCCCTTTTTTAAAACCTGTCTGGCATTTTCCTCTGTCTATTTAATTTCCACATCCCCCCATTTTTACATCATCCCTTTTAAAATATTTTTTTATTTATTTTCTTAATCCCTCTCCTCGCTTCCCCTATCAATATTTGTCTAATAAATTTAAAATAAGTTTTGTTTATTTTGTCAAAACTTTGACTAATTAATATTAGAGAGCGGAACGGGATCGGGAAATTGTAGCAGAAGAAACCCGGCCGGAACCGAGAAAATCGGGATCCCGGTTTCATCCCGGCATGGGTTTCTTTTGCCACAATTTCCCACACCCGGTCTCGTTTTTCCGGCTTTTTTGATGATGCCGGGATGAAACCGGGATCGAGAATTCCGGGTCCCGGCCGAGTTTCTTCTGCTACAATTTCCCGCTCCCCGTTCCCGGTTTATTTTTCAAAATTCCGCCCTCTAATTAATATGCTGTAAGGTGATTTTTTGGAACACATAAATATTATTTTTCCTTTTTATTTTATCCAAAACATTTTTTTAAAAAAATATATGCCAGATGAACAAACTTTATTAAATATTTGTAGGTGTTTTACTATATAGTTTTGTTATCTCTCCTTTCGTTTTCCTCATCCCCACCTTTTTTGCGCATTCTATGACTAGGCAAAATTTTATTAAAAACCTCCCTGAATATTCGTGTTCAAAACGCCCTTTATTTTTTAAATTTTCTAGTCTGTTGAAACTCTAAAATGTTCATCTCTCAGCCTTAAAAAATCCTTAAAAATTATTTTGGGGATATTTTCTCTTTGTTGTTGTCCTCTAAGGTGTTGATCTTCTGGGTTTTATTTTCCCCCTTTTAATAAATTCTCCTTGAATCTTTTGATTGTTTAAACATTATGCTTATTGTTTTCCCTCTCGACTTTTATTTTTTTTTATTTAAATAATTTTTTTTCCATTTTGAAATTTAAAAATCAATAAAACAGTCGAGGAGAAGGTCGATGATCATTAAATAAAACCCCAAAAAGCCTATACAAATGTATAGTCATTCTCCCTTTCTAAAAGCCTAGAGAGTGAAAGAAGGGAGGGAGTTAGAGGGAATTTTTAAAATATTTTTTTTGCCTATTACCTCAATACCTCCCCGTCATTTCTCGATTAAATAAATTTTTTTAAATTTTTTCAAGTTGAAAATTTTCTCCTTTTACTTTTTTGTCTTTTGATATTTTGAAATATGTATTTATTACGAGTTGGCAATTTAAAAAATCCGGGTACAGCCTGGCGCGCGGCCAAGTAGGCGCAAAGCCATAACTTGCTGGAAAATTTCTCGCCTTTATCAATTTTGGTACCAATCTCTTTAGCTCGATGAGAGGAATCGTTTAATACCAAATTTGGTAAGATTCGGAAATCGTGAAGCAAGTTATGGCTTCGCGCCGTTATGGCCGCGCGCCGGGCTGTACCCGTTTTTTTCCTTTAACAATAATTTTTATTTTTTAGATTACCAAAAATTTTTTCATAAATTTTCAACTAAAAATATATGCCTTTATTTTTTCTTCAAAAATATTTTTTAATCTGAATTTAATTGTATTACTAACGAGCTTTCTTTAATCCTTCCCTTTTCTTCTAAAAACAACATTCCAATTTAACCTGAAAAATGAAGGATCGACTTGGGGCACTTAAAGCGGTTTTTCTAGTCAATTTAATCTTAAAAATAAATTTTTTAAAGGTCCAATCAGAAGAAGAACATGAAGATGTTGCTGCCGCAATGGAAGCTAGTCAAAGCCAATTTATGGAAGAATTTTTTGAGCAAGTTGAGGAAATTCGTGGAAGTATTGATTTAATTGCTTCGAATGTTGAAGAAGTAAAAAAGAAACATTCTGCGATTCTTTCAAATCCTGTGAATGATCCAAGTTTGTTTTTTAAAAGATTTTTGAATATTTGTGTAGTTTACCCCCCAAAGCGCCGCCTCTTTTTCAGCCTTTTCTATCGATCTTCCTCCTATAAATGATCATTTAAGTCAATATTTTAATAAACGTTTTTTTATAAAGAAGAGGAAAAAAGGAACAAAGAGGCGGGGCTTATGGGGGGTAAACTACACTAATATCAAGGATTTTTTGAATATTTGTTTTAAAGAAACCAAAGAAGAATTGGATGAATTAATGGCAGAAATTAAGAAGACTGCAAATAAAGTGCGGGGAAAGCTTAAATGTTGGTTGATTTTATTTAAATTAAATTTGAGTGATATAAGAAGCATTTTGGCTCGTTGGGTTAAGCGTTGGTGAGGGTAACTTGGTAGGTACAGGTTCGAATCCGCTAGTGGTTTGCGTTTTAAGTGTTTAAACATGTAAAATAAACAAGCACAACAGGTTTACAGGCTTTTAAGAATTTTTTGGGGGATTTTTTGACTAAAGTGTCGAAAGATAATAAAGAAATTCAGTTTTTTGGGAGGGTTGGAAATTAATACACTTGTTTATGACGGAATTATTTTTGACAGGAGACACCCCAAAACCCGACATGCTCTTTCCGGCAAACCCCGATTCCCGACACTTCCGACTCCGAAGGCTCGGGAAGCTACCCTAGTTAAAACAAATAAATCTTACAATTTTAAAAATAATTTTTTTCAATTTTTTAGTAATTGAAAATAGTATAGAACATGATGAAAGTGGAGGTATGACTAGCGCTGATTTGCGAATTCGAAAAACACAACAAGCTACACTTTCAAGAAAATTTGTTGAAGTAATGACGGATTATAACAAAACACAAACAGATTATAGAGAGCGTTGTAAAGGAAGAATTCAGAGACAATTGGATATTGGTTTGATTTTTTAAAATTATTTTTTAAGAATATTAGGGGGAAATGGGGGTCTTTCTCTGAATATTCGCCTGGTCGGTGGACATTTCCCCGACCTGTGGGGGTCTGTGGACATTTCCCTGGCTTGTAGGGGTCGGTGGACATTTTTTTGACCTGTAGGGGTCGGTGGATATTTTCCCCGGTCTGTAGAGGCCGGTAGACATTTTCCTGGCCTGTTGAGGTTGGTGGGCATTTCCTCTGCCTGTAAGGGTCGGTAGACGTTTTCCTGGCCTGTAGGAGTCAGTGGACATTTTCCTCTGCCTGTAGTGGTCGGTGGACATTTTCCTGGCCTGTAGTGGACATTTCCCCGGGTAACCCATTTTTAATTTTTATAAACCCTTTAAAATTGGGATTAGAAATGAGGGGTGAACCTTTTAGATTATTTAAAAGGTTTAAAAATATTTTTTTAGCGGGTAAAAAAGTTGGCGATGAAGATCTTGAAGAAATGATTGAATCTGGAAATCCTGGTGTTTTTACTCAAGGAATAATTACTGACACACAACAAGCAAAACAAACATTGGCTGATATTGAGGCTAGACATAATGATATTATGCGATTGGAAAGTAGTATAAGAGAATTACATGATATGTAAGTTTAATTTTGTTTTTTTGGGGATTTTGAGTGATTTTTGTGGGGGGTTTGAGTGATTTTGACTCTTGATTTGGTCCAAATTCTTGCTTTGGGTCAAAGACGAGGGGGCCTTGGGTCAAAGGAACCAGGGGCTATGAGAGAGTTTTGATTTCGAGTCTTGACTAATTAGGAGTCAGGGAAAACCAGGTTAACTAGGTCATTATTATTATCAATCTTGTCTCTAAGGTATTACCTTGCATTATAGGGATTATCCCAATAAATCCCCGGATTATCCCAATAAATCCCTTTTTTTGTTTAAGGGGATTATCCCAAACGAATCCTAACCATTCCATTCTTTTGACCTAAAGTGATCTAAAGAAAATTTCTCTTTTAAAATTTAATATTTTCTTCTCACAGGTTTATGGACATGGCAATGCTTGTTGAATCTCAGGTTTTTTAAAATTAAAAAAATTTTTTATTAAAAAAATATTTTACAGGGTGAAATGGTTGACAGAATAGAATATAATGTGGAACATGCAAAAGAATTTGTAGATAGAGCTGTGGCCGATACAAAAAAGGCTGTTCAATATCAAAGCAAAGCGAGAAGAGTAGGTTTTAAAAAATTTAAAATTTTTTCTCTTTAAATTTATAATTTTTTTTTGTTTTTTGCTGTGTTTAGTTAAGTCTTTTTGTTTTTTTAGTTTTAAAATTTTTTAAAAATTTTCGAAAAATTTTTTGAAAATTCAAAAAATTGGTAAAACTTTCGAATCTGGCTACCTAACAAAAATACTACTTGAATCATGTCATTCGACTTCCTCGACGAGCTCTTACGAATGAGCTACCATTTGTATTATCAGATTTTTTACCCCAAGAATAAGTTTAGTCCCCCTGTGTTTTTTGACCATTTCGAGCCCTGTATGTTATCCCAGTTGTTTCCACTGGATAATGGTGTTATTCGTCTCAACTTGTCGAGATCTTTCGAATGACAACTGATTCAAGTATTTTTGTTTTATTTTTGTTTGGTGGACAATTTTCCCAAAAAAATTTTTTGAAAATTTCAAAAAATTTTTCAAAATTTTCCAAAAAAATTTTTTTCGTTTTTTGTTTTGCTTTCCCCCTTCCCCCCTCCTTATTTTTTTATTTTTTGTTTCTAGAAGAAAATTTTTTGTCTAATTGTTGCAATCGTTTTGTTGGCTTTACTAATTGGTGGAATTATTTTATATTTTGTTATGAATTTTGCTGTGATGCCGCATGGGCTCCCTGAAGTTAATGAAGGGCACGAGTCTTCTTCTTCTGTTTCTCGAAATGAAACAAATGATATAAATACAAGCCGCCACCAAATTAATAAAACTTTAAACAAAACACCAAAGAATTGAGAGGAAGGAAAAAGTGGGAGAGAAAGGTTTAAATTTATAAAAAGGGTTATCAAGAAAAGTTTTTGCGGGCTGATATTTGCGGACTAGAGACCGGCGGAGATCGCACTTCCGGGATCCCGAGTCGGGATTTTTTTAAACCAATGCCGGGACGGGATCCCGAGGGATAAATCCCGAATAAATCCGAAAATCAAGAAATCAGGGATCGGGATCCCGGAAAATCCCGTCGTGATCCCGTCTCGCGCCGGTCTCTATTGCGGGCAAACTTGGGGCAACGGTTACTAGGTTTTTTTCTAGGGCTGGATTTTTGTGGGATATTGGGGGTATTTATCTTTTAAAACTGTAAAGTTGTATTTGTCCGCAAATGTTTGTCCGCAAATTTTGCTCTACCCAAAGATTCCATTTTTGATTGCATTTCAAAGGGAAAAATTTTATTTTTGAAAATTTTTTCTTAAAAGATACCCTACTCGCTTTGCTTATTTCCTTATTTTTCCTTTTTAACCCCCTTGTAATTAATTGTAAACTTCATATTTTAAAATGCCTTAATAGGTGAGATTTTTTGAATTTTTTTGGGGATGTCTTTTTTATAAATATTCCTGTGCCTTTAAAATAAATTTCTTTAATTTTTTTTAAATTGTGATTCTTTGCATTTTATTCATAAAACTATGTATTTTTGTCTAAATTTTATCCAAATTTTTATTTTTTTTTAATTTGCGGACAATCCGCAATTTATTTGCGGACAATCCGCCAAATTAAAGAGGGTAGTAGGAAAAAAACAAACATTACTCCAGAGAAATCTTTGGAATAATTTCACTTTTAGGCAGAGTTTTCTACTCTTTTTTAAAATAAATTTTTAAGAATTAAATCCGCAACTTTTTTTATCCGCAAAATAAAATCCGCAATTTTTTGTCAACTTGTCCTTTGGTTGGTCGTCGGTTAGATAAAATAAAATTTTGTTTTAGTATTTTTTGTTGTTTTCTCTTCGTCGTTTGTGTTCAGTAACGTCGTGTTTGTGGTTTTGTCTCTAAAAAGAAATTTTTTTAATTTTAAAATTTTTTTAGAAAAAAATCATTGTAATCATCTGCGTGCTTATTCTTCTTGCTATTGCATGTCTCTTTATACTTTCTTTTGTGCCAAATCCATTTTGATGTCATCAGAGGAGATGGAGTTTAACATAAAAATTCAGGGCACTTTTTTAAATTTTTAAATTTGCAATAAATTTATTTATGACCATTTTGAGTCCTTTTCTGTTGTGTTCCCTTAAAGTCCGCAAGTTTTGTCCGCAAGTCATTTCTTTAAAGGGAATTATTCCCTAAAAAGTTAGTGGACTTTGGGGACACAACATCGAACAAAAATTCTCGGTTATCAAGAGTCGAGATTTTTCTAGATATCGATCTAGATTTTCGGATGACCTTCCTAGCATGGCTGTCCGGGTGTGAAAAAAAATTTTCCGCTGTCCGCAATTTTAATTTTAAAATCCGTAGCAGCAATCCGCAGTCCCCAAGCCAAAAAACCACGCAATTTACACAGTCCGCAACTGCGGACACCCCTGCTTCCCAATCCGGTCTCGAGCATTACCTAAAAGAACTCTAGTTATAATGGTAAAAAAGAAGATTTTAGGGATTCTCGAGGTCTAATTTTGACGATTCTAATAGTACGTAATTGATATATTACACTAATTTTTGATGCCTCGTCTTAATCTCATATTCCATTTTTTTCCTTTAATTTTTTTGTTCATATTTTGAAATTTTTTCTTTACATTCCTTTCTTCATTTCAAAATTTATTTCACTAACAATTTAACAGAATAAAGCTTATATTTGCTAGAAATTTTAAAACGCTTTTGCTAATTAATTGAAAAAATCGGAAAATTAATTTAAGAAAAAATTTTAGAAACAAGTATGCATTTTGATAATTGTTTTGGCTGTTTTAATAGCAATTGTACTCTTCCTAGTGATCAAATTTGGGAGTGGAAGCAGTGCTTCTTCAACGCATTAATAGAGGAGAAATTGAAGCGATTTTTCCTTTTAATTATAAAACTTATTTTAAATTATCCTTACAGAGACAGTTGTGGCTCAGTGGTAGTGTTACCGACTACACCCTATTTTGAGGGGGGTTCGATTCCTACACAGGCCTAATAATTTTTTTTCACACAACGAATAAAAAATATTTCATTTTTTATTATTTTATTTAATCCAGCAGAATTTTTCAATTAAAATTTAAAAAATTTACAAAAAATATACCTTATAAAAACTGAGAAAATTTTTCAAAAATTCAATATTTTTCTGTATCGTTCAATAATTCTAGAGAAAATTTTTGCAACATCCTCAGGATTGTCTTCGTGAACTGCATGTCCAGATTTATGCATAACTTCTAATTGGAATTGTCCTCTCATTTGGCCAGTCTTTTAAAAATTAAATTTATTTTTAGGGGAGGGGATTTGGATAAAATCCGAAGGATCAATTAAACCTTTAAATATATAGCTTGGTTAGCAGTGAGGGACTCAACGAAGAAAAATCTGGGCGGATCTCGAGTCGAAATTTACGAAAAAAATTTTTTATGTGTAACCCGGTTCATCCCTGCTTGCTAACCCAAATTTCGGTACTGGGAAATTTTTAAAAATCAGAACCCCGAAGAGAAAAGTCAGAATTCCTGACAATAAGGGAGCAGTCCGAGGGACTGAAACGGAGACAAAAAAAATTTTAAGTCAGTAAAGAGGGCCAGGATCCGCAAAAAAAAGAAAAATAATTTATACCATCAATTCTCTATCCAATCTATCAATATTTGCAAGTATCAAAATCTTTACAGGTTCACAATTAAGAAATGATTTTGAAAGGCCTTTAAACCATCCTTTCCAATAAGGCTCTGTTTTGGATAAATTGGTTCTCCATTTTAACATTTTCTTTGAAAAAAAATTTTTTTAGTCAAAATTGGGAAATATTTACCTTTCCATTGTTTTCAAAATAAACAAGTCGAGACGGCATTGAAACTGGAAAATTTGAAAAAATTTTTTTAGAAAATTTTAAAATCCGCAAAAAAAGTCCGCAAAAAATCAAAAATCCGCAAATACTCCAAAAATTTTTCCTTAAATTTATTTTAAAAAAACCTTTAGCTGCTCTCAAATTAGAAGTAATTCTATTTTTCATACACCATTCAATTGCTTTTTCCATCGAAACAAAAGTCTGAGGCCTATCCCTTAAAAACTGCTGCATAAAGGTTAATGAAGCAATTGCCGATCCTTCAACAACATCAATTGCAGAAACAGCCAAAATATTTGGAAGTAGAGACAAATTTGCAATATTTATGGCTATGGAGCCTCCCATACTTGAAAGATTTAAATTAAAAAAAATTTTTTTAAGAAAAATAAACCTGTGCCCAATAAGAATTAAAGGAGGTGGAGTAGTCTTTTCAGCAAATAAATGATGATAAATTGAACAAACATCTCTTGAAAATTGAAAAATTGATTTTAGAAAACTTCTATTAAAAAATTTGCTAAAAAAAGTTTGTTTTCATCAAAATAAAATACTTTCCCCCGATGGGGTTCGAACCTTCGACCGTTCTGGGGGAAAACCTAAAATTTACCCACTACACCAAAATCACAAAACTCCCCAAAAAGTCTTCAGAACTGCTCTAAACACTTTTCAAAAAACTTTCCAAGTTTGTTTTCATCAAAATAAAATATTTTCCCACGATGGGGTTCGAACCATCGACCGTTTTGGGGGTGAATCTGAATTTATCCCACTACACCAAAAATCACAAAATTCCCCAAATTTGGGAAAAATTCCCCAAAATGTCTTCAAAGACGACTTGAACACTTTAAATTGGTTTATTTACCTACTTTGCCATTCTTTCAGCAGACATGTCTAAATTATCCTCTACTCGTGTTTCTCCATGATCGCATAAATCTGGGGCAATTATTTGACATTCAATTTGAGAAGAAATTTGTTCCTTTTAATTTTATTAAGAAAAATTTTGTTGAAAAAATAAACCGAAAAGCATGCCCAAGTCAAGCCAGTATATCCCCCACCATGAAGTAAACAAAATAGGGGGCCTTTTGATCCTTTCAAATAAACATTAAATTTGTCTTCATTTACAGATAACAGTTCTTTTCTGTCAAAAAATTCGTTCCAGTCCAAAGGTGTGAAATCGAGCATATTTTAGCTAGAAAATCTGAAAATTAAAAAAACCTTGAAATTCGGAAGGATTAAAAAAAAGAAGTCCTTCAAAACTTGTGGTGGGACGAATTGGGCGTTTTTGTTCTGTGTGATGAATTGGGATGGGGCGAAATGGGTTGGGACGAATTTTTAGTGGAACTCTGTCATAGGCCTTTTCAGCGCTGGCAATTGATCGCCGCGCAGATTTCAACAAATTTCTTTTTTTCGAATTTCAAGTTTGTCCGCAGATGTTCGTCCGCAAATGTTGTCCGCAAATTTTGTCGCCTTTTAAAAATGGTATAAAAGAACAAATTTCAACATAAAATTCTTCTCATGTCTCTAATTAAGTGTCAAAAATGCAACAGCTACAAAAGGTCAACACCGGATTCTCAACAGCAACACTATTTTTCTTGCCTGTTTCGATTGTGCTCGTCTGCTCATTGGTTGTGGGAGTAAATTGCTGCAAAAAGAAGAAACGGAGGCGTCGTCATGTAAGGGGGATTTTGAAGACATTTGATCCCATCCCAAAAGAAGGGCGTTTTTCATTACCTGCAAGGAAAGGAAAAATGGCGACGGATGGACACGGACAGATAAAACACGGACGAAAATGCTTCAGAAGTTGATGTCCGTCAGTGTTAGACAGGAGACCGACAATTAGATAGGAGACCCATTAGACATCGAATTGTGGTTAAGTGGGATAGCTGTCCATTTGTCTCCATTTTTCCTTTCTTGCAGGTAATGAAAAAAGCCCTTTTGGGATTTTTTGAAGAATTTTTTTGAAAAAAAATTTTTTAAAGGCTCGTCGGGCAAACAAAAACAACACCAACAACAGCAACAACGATCGAATGATAAAAGGATCTAAAACGAGAGCCTTCTTTCAGAGATTGAATCCGCTGGAGGAAACCAACGAGACTGACCTTGGAAGCTTAGACGATGTTGTGAGTTGTTTGAAGGGGGATTTTTTTGAAGAAAATATTTTTTTCTTTTTAGGATCTTAGTAAAGAAGTTCCTGCACCCAAAAGCTTTAGACTGGATCTAAAATCGGTAAATGTTTACTTTCTAAAGGGCAGTTTACCGAAAGTACAATTCACCGATGAAGCTTTTAAGAGCTGCCAGTGAGTCTTGTGAGACAGGACAGTGAGACAACCGGACAGTTAGACAAGTAGACTGGGGACCAATCAGACATTGAATTGTGGTTAAGTGGGATAGTAATACGATGAGTATTTTAGAGTCGGTGAATTGTCCGTACTTACGGTGAATTGTCCTTCGGTGAATTGTCCTTTCAAAAAATTTTTCTATTTTTACTCTCATTTTTCAGAAAAGAATCAAGGATGAGAATATTAAAATAGAGCATTCTCAGCCAACAATTTCTCAACAAACAGGGACATTTCGCTAAATAAAGATGTGATTAGGTGGCTATGAAGATGTTTGTATATAAGTAAAATTAGAAGATTTTTTGGTTGTATATTTGTTTGTTTTTTGTATATTTTCTGATTAAAACTGTTAAAATGTAGTTATTGAATTCATATTGTCTTGTTTTGATCAAAATTGTATTTATCATTATTTTAGAATCGGTGAATTGTCCTTCGGTGAATTGTACATAAGGTGAATTGTCCTTTATTTACCCCTTTGTCCTGATTTACAGCGTTGATCTTTTTTGTGATCTTTTGGGTGGGTTCTTAGAGAATCCTTCCATTGATCTTTAAAAAGTTGATCTCTTGGGTCTCCTCCTGAAGAAATAGGGTTAGCTCATTCCAAACCTTTTAGTAAAACGCAAATCGATTTTGCTTTGTTTCGGAATCAATAAAGGAAAGATTTGTTTTTATTAAAGTACTTTAAAGCTTTTGAATTGCTCGGTTCTTCCTTGACTAGAAGAGGCAAAACCCGGGACACGCCCACTTAGTCGCGCGGCCACCTTGTCGCGGCCACCTTGTCGGCCACCTTGTCTTAAGAAAAGTCGCGGCCACCTTGTCTTAAGAAAAAAACAACAACCCCAACTTACCGCGACCCCATCTTACCGCAGAGCTATAACTTGTTTCAGAATTGGCGACTCCTGCACGCCTGGGTAAGGCTCGATTCAGCTCCTCGAGGCGCGTCGAAGCATACCAGAGCGTCCCGGATTCGACGATTCTGAAGTTAAAGCTCTGCGGTAAGATGGGAAGCTCTCCTTTCACTGTGATTCCCTTTGATTTATTTTGCAAAAAAAATTTTTTTCTATCTTTTTTATAATTAACTTCCGGTTTCTATTTAATTTTTAAATTTTATTTTAGAGATTTTATCTTCTTTTTTCAACAACTATAAATTAATAAATTAGAATTTATTTTGAATTTTTGATGGAACAATTTCCAGTGAATGAAACTAATTTAACCGAGGAGATTAAAAAATTAATAAATGAAAAAGGTTTAGAAGTTGTTACTAGCAAAATAATTCGAAATCATCTGGAGGTTTTTTTAATTTTTAAATTTTTTTATAGATTTTTTGGGGTTTCTTGGGTTTTTACGTACCAGGTCCTCTAAATTGGAGGTTTTAGGTAATATTTTTAGAAGGGTTTTAGAGTTTTTCACTTTTTTGTAGGTGTATTTCTTTTAAAAGTATGAGCATGGTTCAATCCGCAAAAAAATTTTGTGCGGGCTTTGCGGATTTTTTTGCGGATTTGATTTTTGCGTTTAATCCGCAAAAAATCCTCGTGTTTACATTTCAAAAAGAAAACCATGCAAAAGTACCAAGCCATTTTCAAGAAGCATTGGAGGGGCATGATTCCCTGTTGTTTTTTTCTTAAGACTGATTTGGTCGATTGACAGGATTCCCTAATTTCTTCCATTAATTTCAGTAATCACCCAAGAACCTGTACTTTGAGGGTCAAAAAATACCAAGATTTTTTTATTTTTCAGACCAAATTTAATTGTAACTTTGAAAAACACAAGAGTCGTTTGGACAAATTAATTGAGGAATGTATTGGTAATTATTTGAAAGAAATTGTTAAAAATGAAGGAAAGGGGGAAGAAGAGGGAAATGATAAAATTGAGAAGAAAAATATTCAAGAGAAGACAATAAAAGAAGAAGAAGACTCGCAATTATCATCTTCTGAATTTTCTGATGTGGATAATATTGAAAGGTTTGTTGGGGTTTTCTATTTATTTTTAAGCATTCTCAAGAGTTATTAGGGTACTTTTCGGTAAAAGTAACCTAACACCCCCCTCCCCGAAGCGGAAGAAAATTTAGCCCTGCTGTCCTGTATAGAAGGGCTGGATTTTCTGTCGCTTCTGGTCTTCCGCTGTTTAAGATTCAAAATTATACAGCCCTCATGTATAGGTTTGGGTATTAAAAGGCTTGAGGACCTTGCGGCACTAACTATCGTTCGGTGGAATAAAGGAGAAATTCCGAGTACATTTTTAAAATTACTTCACTTACCGATTATCCTACTCAACTGACGTGTTGTCTAGACACGACTAAAAGTGTCCTGGAATCTTGGGAGTTTTTAAGAAAATATTTGGGCTCTCTCAATTTCTTTTTAGACCCTACAAAGTATCTAAAAATAAATTTATGGCTTGAAGAGGAGCCCATCCCCTAGGAAAAAATGTTTTTAATTCAAAATTTTTCTTATTAAAAATTATTTTAGATCTTCAAAAATAGTCCAAAATTCAAGCCAAACTAAAAAAGGAAACAAGCGCAAAACTTCAAGTAATGAGCCATCAACCTCAAAAACTTCTTTAGATGAAGAAAATGACGATATGGTTTCTTCCATTAAACGACGTCGTTCTGCTGCACCTTTGCCTAAACGAACTTCAAAACAAAAGGAAAAGAAGAAAGAAAAGGGTTCCTCGACTAAACGACAAACTCAATTTACAAAGTATAATTTTTATTTTTTTTAAATTTGCGGACAAACATTTGCGGACAAAACCGAAAGTGTTTAAAATTGGAATAAATGCTCGCTGACCAAGGGAACCATTCAAACCGAAAGTCAAAATTTTACATTTTTTTGTATCAATGTGTAGAGCATTATCGATTTATTGTAGAAATTTTTGGGGTTTTTGGCTAGCGATATGTAAATTTGAGGTGAAAAATGAATGCAAGATCTTAAAGTTTGAATGGTTCCCTTGTGAGTCAGAGCCTAATTTAAGAATATTTCTGTGGGTCATCAAGACTATTTATCAGTGTTATGATAAAGAAAGGTTATCAGTGAGTGTCCGCAAATGTCAGTCCGCAAATCTCACCACCAAAAAACCTCTTCACCTTTTTAATTTTTTTTCCAATTTTTTTAGAATTTGTGCCTTATCTCCAGAATTGTCTGATTTACTTGGAAAAAGTTATATGCGTCGTTCTGAAGTTGTTAAAGGTGTTTGGACTTATCTAAAATCAAATAATTTGCAAGATCCGAAGAAAAAACAATTTTATTTTTTGGATGATCCTTTGAAAAGAATTTTTGGTTCTTCGAAAACTAAATTTAAGGTTAGTAAATTTTTAAAATTTATTTAAAAAATGAAAATTTGGGTAATTTTTTTGCGTGGAGAGGAAATTTATATTGGTTCCCTTGTTAATCATTACACAGGAAAAAAAGTCCGCAAATGTACTTGCGGACAACTTTTGCGGACTTTTCCCAACATTGACTTCCTTTTTATGTTCAAAATTTATGACATTTCGTTTAAACAAAGGCCTTTGAAATGTCAAACTATTTCGATGTATAGACATCATAACATTTTTTCAAAAATTACCCAGAAAAAGAAAGTCCGCAAATGTTGTCCGCAAAAATTAAATGAGCTCCAATTTTCATGAACTTTTTTTTAAATATAAATTATTGGAGGGGGAGGGTTTCTCATAAATTATTCTCTCAAAAACGAGAATTCTGATTTATTTTTAATTTTTTTTCTAGGCTTTTGGAATGATGGGGATATTAAATAAGCATGTTAAAGATGTTGAATTTCTGGACGTCGAATCCCGTCGAATTGCTGAAGCGGAAATTGCAAAAATTTTAGATGAAGAAAATAAAACAAATAAATCAGCAATTCATTCGGACAGTGGAGAGGAGGATGAAGAGGGAGAGGAAGAAGAAGAAATGGAGGGAGGAAATGATGGTGGCAATAAATTATCCAATAAAAGTGATGACGTTTCCGATGAGAAGAAAATTGGTGTAAAAGCTTCTTCAAAAGCGTCAACATCTTCGGAAGGGGAGGAGGAGGAAGAGGAGGAATAATAAATTAGAAAGGAGAGTAAAATAAGGTTTGAGATTTTTTAATTTATTTTTTTTTTGTGTGGAGAGGGCTATATTTGCGGACAAAATTTAAATGCCTTTTTTGAAATTGGAACATTTTTTTGGATTACTTTTTTGTTTTTTGGTCCAGAATCTTGACATATTTTTTCAATGTCTTTAAGATATATTAGATATCAAAACTCTAACCTATTTTAGAATATGGAAGGGCTTTTGTAAATGTCCGCAAATATTTGTCCGCAATTTTTGTTTTTTAAATTATAAAGATGGAATCTCGCTAATACTCTGTCTTCGGGGCAGATTTGAGCCGACGTATGAATCAGAATGACATCTGGGGATGTATTAGCGATATTCCACAAAATCATTTAAAGAAATTTTCATCGGGTACCAAAAACTTTTTTCTGAAAAAAATGTTGTCTTGTGGCTTTTAAACCCTAAAAAAATTTTTTTTCCAATTGATCTGGTGAAATTGATTTCCCGAAAAATTTTTAATTTTTTTTTGTTATTTTGTTATTAAAATTGGGGGATGTTGAAAAAAATTAATTTCTAGAAAATCAGGAAGGGGATATATTTTTGCGGACAAGTTTTGCGGACAAAATTATTTAAATTTTATTTTCAATATTTTTTCCCCTAAAAAAGGCAAAATTATTTTATTAAACATGCTAAAAGGAAGAATTCAAATTTTTAACGGAGAAAAAACAAAGAAAATTAGGAGGGGGGATTAAGGAAAAATGTAAGGGAAACGCCCAAGTAGGCGCGCGGCCTTAAGGGCGCAAAGCCGTAACTTGCTGGAAAATTTCTGGACCTTATAAATTTTGGTATCAATCTCTTCAGCTCGATGAGAGGAATCGTTTGATACTAAATTTGGGTAAAATTCGAAAATCTTGAAGCAAGTTATGGCTCTGCGCCGTTATGGCTTCGCGCCGGGCTGTACCCTTTAAACAATTTGTTTAAAACTTGCCCTTTTTCCTGTCTTATTTTCCTTCAAATCAATTTAAGGACTGACTAGCACCTCCTCCTTTTTCCCATCATTTAAAATTAATGAGGTCAAAGGTTTATTTATAAATTAATTTTTTTTCAACATCCCCCCTTCATTTTTGACACAGCGACGGCCCTTTCCCATCCTTCCACAATTTTTTGTTTTAATCAATTATTTTAAAAAATTCTGCTTATTATCAAAATATCGTTTTATTTTTATTTTTTGTCGTGATTTTATTAAAATTTTTTTTTGTTTTTAATTTTTAAAAAAATTTTTTGTAATTTTTCAAAAAAAATATTTTTTTAAATTTTTAATTTTTTTTAAGATTTTAAATCAATTTTTTCTAAAAATCAGCTAGAAAATATGAAGAATACCAAAACTTTGGTTTTTACTGGACATCGCTTTCGTAATCCATCAACAACTTCTTTGCCGTCACAGAATACTAATGGGACTACTTCAAAACCGTCAAAACCCAAAACTTCGGTTGTTCGAGTTCAGTCAATTTCGAATGGGACGACTACTTCTAATGGAAAAATTAATTCTCAGATTACTACTAAGGTTTTTTTTATTAGATGTTGATACTCGAGGGGTATGGAATGGGGAAGGGGCTAAAGTCCGAACCACGTATTTTCGATTCGAAATCCGATCCATCGAATCTGGAACCCGGTCCTAACCCTGACCTGACTTTTACAGTCAGTTGTACTATGCCAGCTGGTGGGAAGGATTTTTTCGACTCCTTTTCTTTCGGTCAAAAACCGATCCTCTGAAAATTTCTTAGATAACAAACAACCCGTCCTTTGCTGGCTGGTAGGGGTCCTTTTCTGTTTTGTCCCTAAAGTCCGCAAGTGTTTTGTCCGCAAATCGTAAATTTTTCTAACCGGGTAAATGAAAGGATTGCGACAAATTAGGAAGTCTCGAGAGCACTCCTCGACGTCTTGCGGACAAAACTTGCGGACTTTTATTGGTCTAATTAAAAAAACTTGCGGACTTGTAAAATAATTTTTTTTTAATTTAGCAGCCTAAAAAGCCATCAGGAAAAAATGCTCAACCACAGAATCTTCCTCAAAAGAATAACAATATTGCTCAAACCACCAACAACAAAAAGAATTCTCAACAACAATTATTGGACGACTCCCAAATTAATTGGTGTCCAGCACCCGAATTTTTAATAGTTGAAGCAAATTCCTTTTCCTTCTCTGTTCCAAAATTCGATGGCAATAAACAACCTGAAACTGGACAAGATTTTCAGAATTTATTTAATTCTTTGACCAAATGTTTGGAAGACCATATTTGGAATGCTAATCGATTAATTTCAACAAATAAAAATTTGCCAGAGAAAGCTCAGGTTTTTTTTGAAAATTTTTCAAGAAATTTTTAAAAATTTTATTCTAAAGGAATTGTTGCGTGTTGGTGTTGGGCATAGTCAATTATTGCTAAATAAAAGAATGAAACAATTTGGTGAACAATTGGAACGTTATTTGGTACTTTTTGAATTATTTTTTGGTAATAAATAGGCTTGGGATAGTGAAGACGCTTGTCCCGTCGGGAAAATTTTTTTTCGGGAATTGGGAACCAACCCTAGTATTAAATTTCGGGAACCTTAGTATAAATTCCTCTAGTATTTAAATTCCTATTTTTCGGGAAAATTTTCTTCCATGTTTTCTTGTATTCTAAATTTTTTTTATTTATTTTATTTAGGGTTGCCGTTTTCGAACCGGGTCGACGTTTGAGTTATTTTTGGGATATCTTTTTATTGAACCGGGCCGTTGGAGTCATTTATTCGGGCCGCCCGACGTTCGAGTCTTTTTTGGGATTTCTTTTTATTGAACCGGGCCGTTGGTGTCGTTTTTCGGGCCTCATTTTTTTCGGGCCGGACCGTTTAAGTCTTCTTCTGGCTTCATTTTTATCGAGCCGGGTACAGAGTCTTTTTCGGGCCTAAATTCGATGACCTGTTCGATCTACCGAACCGCGCGGCAACCATAATTTTAATAAATGACCCGTTTTTTAATAAAAGATCTCTGAATCCGCAAAAGATGTTCGCAATTTTCTTCCCAATTTTATTTCCTTTTCCCCCTTCCTTTACGATTTTGTCTTATTTTTATTTTAAAATTTCCTTTTTTATTTTTACAGAATCCAACAGCTAATAATCCAAAGCCAACTTTGCTTGGTGATTTGCATGGACTTTGGGCTTTAATTGATATGCAATTGGATGGTATTCGTTCTACATTTGCTGCAATCGAAAATTTTCGTAAAAATGGTTGGGATGCTTGCCGTATTAGTTCAAATATATTCTAGTTTGTTTATTTTTTAAAAGAGGGGTTTTTTAATTATTTTTTTGTAGGTGAATCGACTTAATGAAGATCAAAGATATTTCTACGAACCTGGAGATTTATGCTATATTCTATTACTAAAGAAATTCTTTCAAGGCCCAAAAATACATTCTTGTTGCTTCTTTTGATTTTTTTGGTTATTTTGTTTTTTTTTGTGATTAAAAAAGACCGAAAAAAACTTGCGGACAAAACTTGCGGATTTTCCGCAAATTTTTGCGGACAAAAAAATTTCAAAAATTTTTTTAAAATCGTAAATTTCCCAAAAATTTTCGTCGTTTTTAATCACAAAAAAATAACACAAAAGCAATCTTTTACCCATAAAAAGGCCTTTTATTTTATTAACACATGCCTCATATATACACTTCTCTTGCCTGTAACTGCCTTTGAAAACCAAAATATATATTTATATTTTATTGTTGATTTTTCTGGTGTTTGTTTTTTAAATTTTTGAAAATAAAAATGTTTGATAAAAAATTTTTAGATTTTTTGTAGAATTTTTTGAAGCCCTTAAAATGGCTTTTCAATTATTTTTTATTAATTTTTATTTAAGTTATGTTAGCTATTTTTAAATTTAAAGTATTGTGATTGGTGGTTTAGTCGGATGTGAATGAATTTTTCGTCAAATGGGTTGTGGGTTCGAGTCCTACTCATTGTAAATAGCTTTATTTTGATGAAAAAAGTTAAAAAAAATTTTTTTAGAAAAACGGGGTCTGAAAAAATTTTTTTTTAAATTTAAAATTTTTTTTTTAATTTTTTCAGGCAAAAAATACTACAAATTTTATTTTTAAATAACTTTTAATATGAATCCTGTCGTTGAAACAGTTGAATATCGACCACAAGACCACCAAACTTCAACAAATACAAACAACAAAAAAGCAGATGACAAAGCCTCTCCTTCAAAAAACAAAGAAGAAATAAAAGAAGTGACTCAAATAAAAAGATATCCTTACAATCAGCCTTTCCCTGGGGCTGCGGAAGCAACAAAACAAATTTTGGAAGACGACACAAATAAAAATAAAATGGCAAATTTGAAATTTAAAGGAGTTGGAAGTTATAAATCTAAACGGGTTTTTAAGGTTTTTTTATAAATTTTTTTTATTTTTAAAAATTATTTTTAAAAAGGTTATAATAATTGGAGATGCGGGTGTGGGCAAGACTTGTTTAAGTTATCGCTTCTGTAATGGACGCTTTCCTGGCCCGACCGAAGCTACGATTGGTGTGGACTTTCGTGAACGCTCTATAATTATTGATGAGGAACTGATTAGAATACAATTGGTATTTTTTTTTGGAAAAGGGGTTTCCTTCCAATTTTTCCGGGTAAATGCCTGACTCTAGACCATATTTTAGGCCATAACTTTTTTGATTCTCAACCGATTTAAACAATTTTTATAACATTCTAGAGCTCTTGATTTGAGGATTATTTTAGCTAACTTGATTGATGTGATCAGATCATTCTACTAAAAGATACGGCCGAATAAATTTAAAAATCACGATTGCGTACACTTATTCGACTGTAATTTTTTGTAGAATGATCTAATCAACTTAATCCTCTAAACTTAATTAATCCACACATTCAGAGCGTTGGTACTTTATGGATATGTCACCCCCCCCCCTCCTATTTTGAGTCTCAGAGTTTTCCTTAAACGTAGAAAATGGTCAGAGATTATTTTCTTCTCCATGTCAATCATCTTTCTTTCTTCAAGCAAAAAAGTGAAATGTGGTAAATGTTGAAACGAAATGAGTGAAATGTAACTACAAAATATGTGAAAAGGCAAAATAAACAAGCAAAATACTTGAAGAAGAAAGAAAGATGATTGACATGGAGAAGAAAATAATCTCTGACCATTTTCTACGTTTAAGGAAAACTCTGAGACTCAAAATAGGAGGGGGGGTGACATATCCATAAAGTACCAGAGCGTTCAAATGATTTGCTAATGAATAAAATAGTAGGTTAACGATCAAAAAAGTTATGGCCCAAAATAAGGCCTCGGGACGGAAACCGGATTTCTTTCTCCTACCGACCAACTACTGAGTTCATTATTGAGCTTTATTAGTTAGTCTGTTATAGGAATTCCATTAATTTTTATTAATCGAAACCCTGAAATTTTCTAGTGTTTTTTAAAATATTTTTAATGGGACACAGCATATCAAAAATTGCTCGAAAACGATTTTAGAACAGTGTCCGCAAAAATTTTCCGCACAAATAATTTTTTTTATTTTTAAACAAATTTTTGCTGATTTTTCTTTTCTAGTGGGACACAGCAGGTCAAGAAAGATATCGTCAATCAATTGTAGCTCATTACTACAGAAATGTGAATGCTGTTGTTTTTGTTTATGATATAAATAACGTTCAATCATTTAAATCTTTGCCTGCCTGGATATTGGAATGTAAAAACCATGCCTTAACTTCTGGAGATGATACCCCTCATATTTTGATTGGAAATAAATGTGATTTGCAAACAACGAATAATGAAAGAATTAAAACTGAACAGGCACAGGTTTGTTGGAATTTTTAGAATTTTTCTTTAAAATGTACATAATGGTCAGACCGGCCCAAATCCTCAATTTAAGATATATTTTCTTCAAATTTGGTTGGCCCGGGGTCCACTAAACGCTATCCCAAATTTATGATATCCCTCATTATAAGATATAATCTTCCAATTCCAAAGGACTCTCTTTCCTTCAGTCTCCACAGATCTTCGACGTTCCGAATCGAAAAAAATGTTTTCATGGCTGTGTCCGCAAAAATTGTCCGCAAAATTAATTTTTTTAATGGACACAATAGGGGAGTTGTTTAAGCAATACATTAGATTTAAGATATCCATCATTATAAGATGAATTTTTCTGTCCCAAAACAGGGATGGGTTGGTTCACTGACTCTTTTCGACCGAGAATCCAATCCTCTACCCTATCCAATTTTTTCACAACCCGACCTTTTTTCCTGGTTCCAAGGATAATTCTAAAAATGAAATCTGACTGAAATCTATTTAAAAAATTATTTTACGATTCAAAAAGAGGGCAAATTAGTCAAAAAATATTTTAAGGACCGTGTCCGCAAAAGTTGTCCGCAAATTTAATTTTTTTATTTTTAAACAGATTTTTGCTGACGAGAATGACATGGCATTATTCGAAACCTCAGCATTTGCTGATTCTGAAGCTGATCATATAGAAGCAATTTTTATGACTTTGGTACATAAATTACGTCATAGCAAGCCTATGCATGTTCAATCAAATGAAGAAAGAAGTTTAAAAGGACAACAGAAAATTTTGTTGAAAGCTAATGAAATTGGGAATGAAGAGGAGAATGAAGAAGAAGGGATGTGTTGTTAATTGAGTATTGTTTTTGTGTTTGGGGATATTGTCCGCAAAAAATTTTTTTGTCCGCAAAAATATTTGCGGACAAAAATTTCCTAGAGATCGGAGTGAGCTGATTTTGAGAAGGTTTACGTTTATTTTTTGCTAATATTCTCCATCGGTCTACTCATTCCGATCTCTAATTGAAGGGGAGATAGAATTTTTAGTGTAGATGTTTGCGGGTCTCCCTTCTTTTTTCCTCTGTTCCACCAAGTTTCTGGAGGTTCTCCAAGGCATAATTTAATGGGTTCCTTTTTTCTTTTTCTTTTAATATTTTTGCTTTGCCTTTCCCTCTTTTTCCAATTTTTCTCCTTTCAAAGGGTTGTAAAGAAGGAATTTTTTTTCAAATTTAGGGCCTAAATTTTGTGTTATTTTTCTTGTTTATTTATTAAATCTATCAATTAATTTAATATAGCTAATATTTAAATATAATAAAATAATAAAAATTTATTTAAAATGATTATTTTACAAAGGCACACAATTTTAAAAATTCTTGTAAAAGATTGATATTGAATTAAAATCGCTTTTGTCGCATACATTATGTCGTTTACATAATTGTCCCTCTCGCATATGTCGCCTGCGCAAAGGTCTGGGACACTTATGTCACCTACACAATTATCACCTACACAAATGTCGTTTTCGGGAAAACCCTTAGACAGAAGCCGCATAAGAAATGTCTTCCATAAAAATGTCAAAAAAAGACGAAAATATAATTGTTAAGATTAGGATATGAGATCATTTAAATTAAATATTTAATATTTAACAAAAAAAATTTTTTTAGTAAAATCACTGGGTTCCTAAAAAATATTTTTTCTTTTTTCCTTCAATTCTAAACAGAATCTAATCCACTATCATCATGTCTACCAAAAGAAGACGAACAATTGGCGGTTGTTGAAGTATTTGGGGAAATAAATGTTTGTTGGGGTATTATGAAGGATTGTCTTCTATTTAGTGTTTGTGATTGTATTGGTGGAAATGAAGGTGGAGGTGGTGGTGGAGGAGGGAGTGTTGACTAAAAAAATTTTTTTTTATTTTTGGCATTTTGTCTTGTACCGTTTTCTTGTACTATTTTGACTTATGTGCCCTTTTGTCGTACCATTTTGTCCTATGTACCATTTTGTCTAGTGTACCCTTTTGTCGTATATTCCATTTTGTCTTGTGTACCCTTCTGTCTTAAGTGCCCTTTTGTCCTATGTACCCTTTTGTCTTATGTACACATTTGTCCTATGTATCCTTCTGTCTTATGTACCCTTTTGTCTTGTGAACTCTTTTGTTTCCTGTACCCTTTTGTCTTATGCACCCTTTTGTCTCATTTAATTTGCATTATGCCAAATTACATAATTTTTAAATTATTAATTTTCTCACTCTAATAATCCCCTCTAACTTCATTGCTTCTCAAACAACTATTTTCTCTAATTTTAATGTGTAATATAAAAAAATTACTTGATGACTTATTGTCATAGTCGAAGGGACTTTAATTGAAGCATTCCGGCTAAATTCATAACAAGTAGCGTAGGGATGGACAATTTGTTGTTGCCCTAAAGAAGGGATTGGTTCACTTCCACCGCTAAAGAAAAGTGAAGGAGGGCGGTGATTATTTGAAGAAATAGTTTGGTTGTTTAGAAGCCACTGACGGGGGACTAGACAAAATTTGTTGTCCCATGGGACGTCATAATTACTGAAAAATGAGAAAGAATTGTGGGGTAATGCGACTAAAAATAATTTTTTCTGCCATTTTGTCGTATGTACCCTTTTGTCGTGTTCGATTTTGACTAGAAAAAGTACTCAAATGCCTCTCACAACTAAATTTATTTTTTTTACATTTTCACAATGGACACTAGAGTCCTGGGCACAAAATAAAAATAGACAGCTATACCCTAAAGATCACCTACCCCAAAGATCGCTACCCAGAAGATCAACAATAAAAGGTTTTGTTGATATTTTGGGTGGTGATCTCCTGTACTAGTTAAATAATATTTTAATTTTCCCTCACTTTTGCTCCCCTTGACAATTTTCTTTACAAATAAATTGTTGTTGTTGTTCATATTTTTCTCTCTGCTTTTCTGGTGAACAAGGTAAGGAACGTTGGGCACGTGGGGGAGAAATTAATTTTAAAATTTTTTTATTTTTTGAATTATTTGGAGAAAATATTTTTTCTTTTTGATGGCAGCCTATAGCTGTATTTATTCTTCTTCGATTTGAATGGATTAAATTAGGCTTTTGTTTACGGTAACGCCAATGGATTATTAAGGCACCAAAAAGGCCTAAAAATTTTTTAAAGGTTATTTAACGAAAAGGGACACTAGAGTCTCAACGACCATACCTCCTTTTTTGGGCCATAACTTTTTTATTCTTTGACCATTTCGAACAAGTTTTATATCAACCGAAAGCTCTTAACGTGCCGCTTCTTTTTTCCAGCAAAATTTATAGGGTCTGACAATTACATAGTTAAAAAGTTAGAGACCAAAAACTAGCCAATCACGATTTTCTGCATTTCACGACTTGTAGAATTTTTAGAAAAATTGTGAGCTAATCAGTCCCATTGGGAAAAAGAATAGGCACATCCAGAGCTTTCGTTTGAAATAAAAATTATTTTAATTGGTTATAGAATAAAAAAGTTATGGGCCAAAAAAGTCTCGTAGGCGTCCTGTCCAAAATCTTCAAGAAAATTTTACCACTTAAGGAAAAAACAACAGCACCAGACAAAATTAAAATTAGTATGTTCTGTAATTGTATAGTCTTTCCATTTTCTTCAGAAATATTTCCTTTTAATTGATTCTGAAAAAAAAATTTTTTGAAAAGAAAATTTTCCATAGGGTAGGGGACACTTGAGTCTCAGCCATTTCAATCTTATTTTGGCCCATAACTTTTTTGTATCTTAGCCGATTTAAATAATTTTCATATCAATCGAAAGCTCTGAATGTGTAGATTATTTAAGCTAACAGGATTGAGTTGATCAGATCATCCTACTTGAAGTTACAGCCCGCTAAGTGCGCGCAATCGTGATTTTCGGGCATTATCCGTCCATAACTCTATGTTTGTTGATCTGATCAAATCAATCCTGTCAGCTTAAATAATCCTCACATTCAGAGCTTTCGATTGATACAAAAATTATTTAAATCGGTTAAGGATCAAAAAAGTTATAGGCCAAAATATAGCCTCAAGACTGTCAACGCCTTTCAACGTCCTTCCATTACTACCTGTTGTCCAATCCCCTCCTCATTATTTTCTCCAACAACTTTAATATCTAAATTTGGATCTAAACACCATGGACATCTTTCCAAATATTTTTTAACTGAGAGTGTAGCATTAAAACAGCGTCCATTCATTTTAATTAAAATTATTTGAGAATTTTGGTTGTTTAGTGGAGAATTTGGATGATTTTCATCATAAAACGAGGATTCTTCTCTTCTAACATTTTTCTATAAATTTTAAAAATTAATTTTTAATATCTTGGTACTTTGAAGACCCCCCTTTTTCCAAAATTTTATTTTTATTAAAAAAATCCGCAAATTATGACCGCAAAAAATTTGCGGATGTCCGCAACATTTTTGCGGATTGTGCTCAAAAGTTTTGAGGATTTTGCTCAAATATGTTGAATTTGTCCGTATGTTGGATCTGTCCACACAAAATTTAAAATTTCGTCTCTTTTTAATTAATTTACCAAAATATTTTGTTTAACACTTTCTTCTTGAAAAATTCTCTTTGCCGAAGCTTCATCACAAATACGCGCAAATCCAAAAGAAGGATCAGTTCCAGCAATTTGACAACCAAAAGAAACGTCTTCAGGTTCTCCAATTGTCCAATGGGAAATAAATGGGTGAAGAATGTCCTTCTAAATATTTAATTTTTGAAAGTTAAAAAATTCAAAAATAATTTTTTGGGGGTAGAGGACACTTGAGTCTGGCCCTATTTTTGACAATAACTTTATGGATTCTTAACCGATTTGAACAAAATTTGTAACATTCGAGAGCTCTCAGCTTTCTTAACCGTTTTTCTAAAAGAGTCGATCCGATCTGATCAACGGATAGAAAGTTACAGGCGAATAAACAAGGAAAATCACGATTGCGCGTACTTATTTAGCATTAACTTTTTATTAGTTGATTTGATCAAGTCGATCCTTTTAGCTAAAATAATCCACACGTTCTTAGCTTTCGAATGATATAAAAATTATTTAAGTAGGTTAAAAATTAAAAAAAGTTATGGCTAAAATACAGCATCAGACTGAAATGCCGGGACAGGGCAAGTTAACGGCCCACAACTTTCCAACTTTTAATCCTCCCCAAATTAATTTTATATTTTTAGAAAGCCCTAAATGTGCTTAACATTTTGTCTAAAAGGACCTATTAAATCAGATCAATTCTAACAAAGTTAGAGTCGATCGAATACCAACACCTCGTAGTGGTCTGAAAAGAGCGACAATTGCGAACATACGACAATTGCGAACACGCGACAATTGCGTATTTAATTTATTTGAACAGCTTTTTCAGGTCAAAATATTAAAAACAAAAAGTCTGTTAGATTACAAAATATATTATCTCCAACAGAGAAAAACAAACAAAAAATAAAAGTTTTTAAAAAAAGAAATGTGATATTCTCACAAATACATATTAAATAAAAAAGAAGAAAATTTACAAAAGCGGTAAAAATACAAAAGAAAAAAAATTAGTTTAAGTAATTTGAGAGAAAAAATAAGAGAGAAAAGAAAATAAATAAAACAAAAAGGGTTATTAAAGATGTTTTTAATAAAAATTTTTAATAATTTTCCTGTAGGTGTTGGTCTTCTGTTTAAAAACCCCTTTAAAGGCAGAGGAAATGGTGTTTAAAAATTCCGAGATTTTTAAGACTGAAACTAGGAGGTATTGGATTTATGAAGTTGTGGTTTGCCTTAATGAAGAGCGAAGAAGAATAAAAATGAGAGCGACATTTGCGAACATCGACACTTAAGAACAAGCGATATTTAAGGACAATGACATCTGAGGACAGCGACATTCGCGAACAACGACATTTGCTAACATAAACATTTGCGAACATTTATTTAAGCTTTCTATATTATGACAACTAGAGTCTTGATATCCCAACAAAAATATTTCAACTAGCCAAAAGAACCTAATGGCCAGATTTGTTCCACTTTCAAAACCTGCGCAAATGACGTTTCCGTTAAAACACCCATTCGGTAAAATTAAAAAATCAGAACAAAATATTCCAGATGGGGAGAATGAAAAATGAGAGGAAATGAAAAATTACTTTTTTAAAGGAGGTAAAAATGAAAGACTTTTGTCGCCTCAAGGTTGGAAACCATTAAAACAAATTGAGGAAATTTCTTTCTTTTTAATTTTCCGACTAATTTCTACAGCAATTAGTTTGTCGGTCTTTTTTAATTTTTTTTTCAGTTAAAAAAATTTTTTTTAATTGACAAAAAGCATTAAAAGAAGAAAATTAATTTTTTTGACCATTTCAGTATCGAAGGCTTAGATCCCAGCCATTCTAACTTTAAGCAGATCTCAGGCTTTCGACAGATAAAGACCACCCAACCGACTCAACTACCCCCAATCTCAGGACAAGGACACCAATCTTATTTTGGGGCATAACTTTTTTAATTCTTAACCGATTTGAATAATTTTTATATCAATCGAAAGCTCTGGAAGTGTAGATTATTTTATTTAACAGGATCATTATGACTGAACCAACGAGTAAAAAGTTATGGCACGCTAAGTGCGCGCAAACGTGATTTTCGGTCTTTAACCAGCCCTAACTTTTTATTGAATCATCTGATCGAATTGATCCTTTTAGAAAAAAGCTTAGGCAAAACGAGAACTTTCGATTGATACAAAAATTATTCAAATCACTCAAGAACTGAAAAAGTTATGAGCAAAAATATGGCCAGACTCAAGTGTCCTTTTTCATAAAAAAATAGCTAAAAACATCCAAATTTTAAATTTTTAAAATTTGCCTGTAAAAGTGTCTCAGCACCTCCCTCCATCGGCCAACTCATCATAACAGTTTGGCCATTTAAAGTCATTGTTTGACTCTTAAAAAAATTTATTTTTTCAATCAAAAAATTCAAATTTCCCCTCTCCCCTACCAATTTAAACGTCGGTCGATGACACAACGCCGTACTCAAACAGCCCTTTCTAAACTCAACAGAATTAATTTCTACAGAAAGCCAAAACATTGTTTTTATTGTGCTTTCAATATTTTTTAAATTTAAAATTTTTGTATTTTTCTTTATCGTCTCTTCTGTTTTTAATGGTGGAGAAAGCAACAAAATAATTATAATTAAATTAATTAATAAATTAAGAATTTTTGTTAATAAATTAGATTTTTGAGAAAATGGCATCTTTTTAATTTTTTCTGTGGCTAAACGAAACAAAATTTTTTAAAAAATAAAACGAAACGCGAAATTAGAAAAACAAGAAAAAATTTTTAAAAATTTTTTGGCGACATTTGCGAACACCCGACATTTGGGAACACACGACATGTGGGAACAGGGGACATTTGTGGACACCCGACATATGGGAACAGGGGACATTTGTGGACACAAAACGAGTCTTGATTTATTCAGTAAAATATAATATCTTGGACATGGCCTGCAAAATGTTGCTGAACCAAAAATAAATCTCAATATATTTAAGGGAAAATAACAAAAAAATTAAAGAAAAGAAGGGAGAGATTTTCCCTTTAAACAAAAATAAAATGAATGTAAATGAGTTAAAAAGGTAAGTAACAACCAAACAAATTATTTTTTGGGGGATATTTTCCTTCTTTTGTCAGTAGAATACTCTATTGTAAAAAAGATGTTCCTTTTCTCCTTATTTAAAAAATCGAGAAAAAATAAAAAAAAAAGAGGGAAAGGAGGGAAGGTCATTTTACTTGTTAAACCCCTAAAAATTGTTTCGAAAATAATAAAAAAAATTTAATTTTTCGCGCACAGAGATTAGAAAATTAAAAAAAATATTTTTTTAATACAGAAAAATTAAAAAAATTTTTTACCGACATTTGGAAACACACGACATTTGCACACATGCGACACACACGCCATATGGGCACGAATAATTCTGATATACAATAATTCTGATAGACAATTAATTGTTTTGTTAAAAACACAAAACACATAATTCTGATTCAAAATACAAATAATTCTGATTACGAATAATTCTGATACAAACAATTAATTGTTTTCTTAAAAATACAAAATTCTGATTTAAAATACAAATAATTCTGATTATATTTTTAAGTTTATACGAAGAAATAAAAATCAGAATATTTGTGTTTCTAAAAGAATGACAGCAGGAATTAAATCAGAATTAATATTCTGATGCGACGCACACGACATTTGGGAACAATAGAAATTTGGGAGGAATTTTTAAAAAAGAATTTAAAGAAAAATAAATCTTCAAGAGAACATTTGCTTGTTTTCTTTAAAAAAAAGAAAATTACATATTTTGTGTGTTTTTGTTGTTCTATTATAACAAGCGCGAGAAGGATTTACACACAAAAAAAAATAAAAATATTCATGACAAGTGCTTGTTAAATAAAAAAAATAAAAGACAATTGACAATTGATGAATGTCCTCAAAAATAAAAATATATTTATTAGTTGTTAGAAAAAAAGGGATTATTATTAGAAAAATAGTGACCGGACTGGGGAGTATCCGTATGAGATTCTGATTATATTTTTAAGTTTATACAAAGAAATAAAAATCAGAATATTTGTGTTTCTAAAAGCCAGCGGGAATTAAATCAGAATTAATATTCTGATTTTTGTATTTTCTAAAAATTCTGATATACAATTAATTGTTTTCTTAAAAATACAAAATTCTGATCTAAAATACAAATAATTCTGATTATATTTTTAAGTTAATTGGCATTCTGCAAAAATCTTAAAAAAATTTCCGCTTCCCTTATTTAAAAAAAATAAAAAAAATTTTTTTTTGTGTTAGGTACTTGTGTCTTAATTGACTTAATAAATGTCACTCATCAAGCGTTTTTTTAAAGAGAATATTAAGCGATTTGACTAGAGGGCAAGAAGAACTAGAAGAGGAGGAACACTCATTCTTTCCTCAATGTTTTCTTCCTCTTTTTAGAGATGAAATTAAGTGATAAAAATTGAATGAGGGGAAGTTTTGGTGGCGTAACATGTCTATTTTTAATATTATAAAGGTTGTCCCAAAAGATCAACACCCCACGAAAATACATACGAAATTCTGATTTTGTATTTTTTAATTTTAAGGGAAGAAAAATCAGAATATTTGTGTGTTTTAAATAATTAAAATTCTGATTTTTGTGTTTTATTAAATTCTGTTTATGAATAATTCTGATATACAATAATTCTGATACAAACAATTAATTGTTTTCTTAAAAATACAAATTCTGATTTAAAATACAAATAATTCTGATTATATTTCTAAGTTTATACGAAGAAATAAAGATCAGAATATTTGTGTTTCTAAAAGAATGACAGCAGGAATTAAATCAGAATTAATATTCTGATGTTTGTATTTTTTAAAAATTCTGATATACAATTAATTGCTTTCTTAAAAATACAAAATTCTGATTACAAAGAAAATACAAATAAAATCAGAATAAAACTCAGACTCAAACGGTCTGCTTCAATTAATTTTCTCCAATCTCGCCACTCTCCCATTAAATCGTTGATTATCCAATAGAGCATGTCAAGAAAATTTTTTTAGAGAAAAAAATGAGTGATGTACTTGTAAATTAATAAAAGTGATAATTAATGGAAAAACAAGTAAAAAATATAAAATAAATTTATTCACTCAACCAAAAAAAGTTTTTTTGTTAAATAACGTTTGGTTTTTGTTTGGTTGCGTGCAAATTAAAAATAAAACGTGTAAAAATAAATATTAACAAAAATAAAGTTTAAATAAATATAACGTATTTTGTATGAATATTAAAAAAAATTAAAGTTTAACCCACAAGATCACCAGATTCTGATTTTTGTATTTTTAAAGTTTAAGAAGAGAAAAACACATCAGAATATTTTGTGTTTCTCTAATAGTCAAAATTCTGATTTTTGTATTTTATAAAAATTCTGATTTGTGAAGAACAAATAATTCTGAAACACAAAAGTTTCTGTGTGTTTTCTTATGGTATTGGCTTGGTTAAAATTTAAATAAAAAAATTCCAAAAAATTATCTTCCAAAAAATCTTTTTTCAAATCAAAACCCAAGGCATTATTCCCATAACAAAAAGATTTTTTCAAAAAAAAATATGTAGCAGCAGGAATTATTTTTAAATAAAGGGGGCAAATTAGGAGACAATCCAATTAAGGCAATTAATTTATTAATAGAAAAATGGAGAGAGACATGTTTGTATTTGTTTTTAGTTGTTATCGCTAGTGATTAATATTTGGTGGCTATTCCGGTCGTGAGAAAAAGTTTTTTTAAACAGAATAAATTGACTGTATAAAATTTATAATATTATCAGAATTTTAGTTTTGTATTTTTTTTAATTTTGGGAAGAAAAAATCAGAATATCCAAAATTCTGATTTTTGTATTTTACTAAATTCTGATTATAATAAAACAAATAATTCTGATATATGTACAATTAATTGTTTTCTTAAAAATACAAAATTCTGATTCTCAAAATTATTTGTTCTGTTAATTTTAGTGAAGAATTCTGATTTTTGTATTTTATTTAAAAATTCTGATTTAAACAAAAATACAAATTAAGAAGGGGGTAAATAGAGTCTGAGAATTACATTAATTTTTTAAAAAAAAACTTTTACGAAAAAATTTTTTAAAAATATTTAAAATAAAAATCAAAGCAATTTAGATAAAATCCAATATATTTATTTATTATTGACCACAAAAATCCTCAAAAATATAATTTTTGCTTAACTCGTAATTTTCTCGAAAGGCACTTGAGAGCTTTTCTCTTTTTTCTATTGTCTTTCTGCGCAAACACAGGCCCCTTTCTGTACTTTTTACTAAGTTAAGGATAATATATATTGAACTTTAAGAAGAAAATAATATTTAAAAAAATTCATTGTTGAAAACTCGTTAAAAAACAGGTCGACTGGTTTAAGTATTTTTAAGTAGAAAATGAGGGAAGAGGAGGGGAAGAGGATATACATAATTTTAAGTGTGTAAAAGACAGTTCTTTTTAGTATAATTTTCCATGGTTGTTTGCGCTCCTTAAATGTGCAAAAAAAAAAATAAAATAAGAGAAGCAAATAAAACTAAAAAAAGGGCGGGCCGCAAATTTAGGGCCATCACGAAAGGATAAATTGAAAGAGAGGGAAATTGCCTATTCAGGATCAAAAAAAAAAGATGAAAGAAAAATTAAATGACTCATTTTTGAGTCCTAAACAAACTAAAAAATTTTAAAATTAATATAAATTGTATGGCCGACATTTGCGGACAAAAAAAGTAAAAAGCTTTTAGCGTTTACCCGCAAGTGTCGGTTCACGAATGTCAAAATTCTGAAAATTCTGAAAAAATTCAGAAAAATTCTGAAAAATTCTGAGAAATAATTCTGGTGTGTTTTAATTGTATTTTCGATTAATTCTGATCTAGTATTGAAAATACGTAGATTTTAGTGTTTGTCCACAAATGTCGGTTGGCAAATGTCGGTTGGCAAATGTCACACACTCAAAAAATTCTGAAAAAACACAAAAATTCTGGTGTGTTTTTAAAATATGTGTTTTTAATTGTATTTTCGAATTAATTCTGATTTTTTATTGTTCTGATTAATTCTGATTAATTAATAAAGATTTATTCGATTTTAAGACTCGAACGACCCTCTCCGGAAAATAGCTCAAAAAATTTCAGATTTTTTCTTTATTCTTCGCGGAAAAAAATAAGAGTGATATTTAGAAAAATAAAGGAGTGCCATTAAGTCGGTCTTTGCGCTTTATGGCCAATTGCTCCGGTTTAAATATACTCCCCTTCCTTCTCTTATTTTTTCTCGTTTTAATATCCCTTTCAATCCCTTCTTTTTAAACAAAAAAATTTCCTTGGCCAAAGCCGATCTACAAAAAAAAAGTTTAAAGTTAAGCAAAGAAGAGCGGTATTAAAGCTAGTAAAAAAGAAAATAAAATTGAGAAAAAAGAAATAAATAAATATATAAATTTATTTAGATGGATGACATAAAAACAAATTACTCTCTACCAGACTTTTATTTGTTTAATTGCACCTGTGTTTTTATTAAAATTGCAACATTATATTTTTAGACTAAAGTTTAAATTTAGAAAAAAATTAAATAATAAAAATTTAATTTTTAAAGATAAGATAAAAATTAATTGATAAAATAAGAAAGAAAAAATTCTGGAGTCGAAAGGAGTCGAACCTAGATTGGTAAACGGTCAGAGTTAGAAGCGCTAACCACTACACCACCAACCAACATGTTAAGTAAACAAAAAGAAGAGTTGATGAGGAGAAAGAAAATCAGAATTATTTAAAAAGACCAGAATTATTAAAAAAAATCAGAATTATTAAAAAGACCAGAATTATTAAATCAGAATTATTAAAAAACAGAAATACAAATCAGAATTAATTTTAAAAATCAGAACAATGATCAGAATTATTTAATTAAATAAATCAGAATTAAGAAACAGAATTATTTAAAGAGTAAGAATTTAAATCAGAATTATTA